AGCGCCATCTTGGTTTTTTAAAACCACAGGTAACCATATTTGGAGGAGTGGGGGTGGAGCCTAACTGAGAGTAACGTGCACCTAGTGGACGGTACTATCTGTCAATCACACTGTGGTCCCCCCCCCATACACTCGGTGCTTTCTGGTCTGTTTGACTCTAAATGATCTAAATGAATAAATGAACATCAGCTGTTTGAAGAAGATTTGAGACTAGAGACAAAAACTCCTGAGGACAAAGTTTCCTGACGTTATAAAGTGAGAAGGGACATTTTCTATAGAAACTACCGGTGGAGTCGCCCCCTGCTGGTCATTGCACAGAACACAGGTTTCAGGCACTTCTGCATTAACTTCACTTTCAGTACCTGGAATCTATTCTGAATAGAGTCGATGAAAGTTGGCCTGTACTCACGTCCTGAGAACTCCTCATCTTCACCTAATGACGAGTCATTGTTAAACACTCATACTCTGGTGCTGTTGTCCTTCAGTCGTACTGGACACATTCATTAAAGCTGGTAGAATCATTTTGTTTGTCTCTTACGCTCTCTCTGGTGACAGAGTTGGGGATGATAACTGGAGGACTCTTCCCGCTAACATAGCCGTACCGCAGAAACACCTCCCCATCGGCCACCGGAGCACCGTGCAGATACCTGAGACGGGCAGACGACACTGTGCTAAACAAACAGTTTGGACTTCACGTGTCTGAACAAGCTGTCCCGGGGACATGTTTATTCACCTGGCTGAGACCTTAAATTGGAATCTGTTGAAGTGTCCATAGCTGATGTAATTTGCTTCAGGCTCCAGGAGGATGGAGAAACTTGGAAGAACTAATACAGACACTTAATTATTGCCATTATATCTATCACCATAAGTATCAGTCGTATAATCATCATATTCCAAACCATATTCTTTAACTTCAAAGTCTGTTCTCGCTGTTGTGGTGAAGTCATCTGAGTAGGAAGCTTCAATGGACCAGATCCCCAACCTGGAAGCACAGACAGTCCAAAACATTACAAACACCCTGGAGCCACATTGATAACATTACATAGTCTCAGTAAGTTTGTTTTTGAAAGTTGTGGTACTTTGGTTTGATGGGGATCTTGAAGGGGTTTTGCATAGATGGGATTCCATTATTTAAATCAAACATCTCCACAATATCCACTGTGGTGTGATCCGGGTCCTGTGGGGGACAAAATGATCTGAGATCACTTCTGATGAAAGAAAACTAAATGTATGACCCTGTGAGCTGTTCGCTTCAGGTCCTGCAGATAACTGTACTCACCTTAAAGGTCAGGAAGACGCTGCGATTGGCCGGTCTCAGCTCCTGGTTCAGGGAGAATACCCGAACTTTGACTGGACACACACAGTAAAATTAGTTCAGCAGGAAAACTTGATTTCATCATTTGACAACCTGAATTTATGAGCTGAAGTGGAACACCTGACTTCAAGCGCTGAAGAGGAGTAGCCAAATGAGGACTATCTGAACAAGGACTACCTTTGGAGCGGTTGAGGACAACAAAAGCTAGGACGACCTGAACTAGACCAACCTGTGAGAAGCTTTTCGAAGGATTGATGAGGACTACCTGAGAAGGGACAATCGGAACAAAGTAAAAAGAGGACTAAAGGAGGACCAGCTGGGTGATGACTAACTGACTTCATGAGATGATGAGGACCTAAATGAGGACCACCACTTTTGTAGTTGATGAGGAATAGCTGAACGAGGACTTTCTGATCCAGGACAACTTAAATAAGAAACACCTGAGTTTATGACTTGTTGAGGGACACCTGAATATTTTCTTCTGTAAAAATACTTTAAACATGAAGTTAAACAGTAACTTCATGTTTAAAGTATTTTTACTTCTAATGTAGTAAATCCTGTTGTGTTGATGTGTTCAGTTCCATCAGCATCTATTGCACCTGTGTCCTGGAGACGGATCCTCTAAGGATGTTACACCTTGTGATCACCTGATAAATAAAATGTGATTGATTGATTGATTGATTGATCGATTGATGCACAATTTGACAGACATGCAGCAGATTTTGGGAAACCTCAGATGTGTCTCTGTGAATGAGGATATGAGGAGTGTGCAGGAGGTGGAGCCTGAATATCAGACATTATATAAAGGTTATTATTCTCTCACCACGCTGATGTGGGGTGTACAGCGGTTTGTCCGTTTGGATGAACATGAAGCCGTTGGAGCGGCTGACAGGGACCAAGACGTGCTGGTTGATCTCTGTTGATTGGACGTGGAGGATCACGTGTGTCACACTCTTATCCAGTTGACCTGGGTACAGCTAGAGAGAAACAGAAAAGGAAGAGACATCATGATTCATTTACACTGTACGGATGCATTTTGATAAAAATACAGTGGTTGGTAATTTTGTTGCATGACCCACCCGGACTTTTGCAGCCGCCTGATGGTGGTTCTGAGTGTTGAGGGTTACGACCTCTTGAGCTAGAACTACATGATCCGGAGCCATGGAGGTCTTTAAAAACACGTAGACCGTCTTCTCCTCTGAAAACCCAAACAACTGTAGCAGCACTGTCTCCAACGCATCCAAACGCATTGAGAGAGGAGCTGTTATCAGATACCTGCAGGAAGAGGAGGCGTGGTGTCAGGTCATGGGAAGTTATGTCTTCACTGTGGTTCGTTTGACTGTCAGCAGGATCACTCAGATCTACTGATCCATGGAATTGTGCGAATAGTTGGGAGACGACCCAAGAACAAACCCACTAAATGAAAAGATATACGACTATAATGTTGGGATATGGAACATAATACAAACCTACGAAGATAAATAGTGTTTGAGTTAAGAGGAAAGATGAAGTGTGTAGACATGTTCTTCTTAACATGCTAACATGCCTAATGTTACACACTAAACCAAAGGTCAGTAAACTCCATGTTAGTGTCTTTTACTTCATCAGGGTGTTCTCTAAACAAACAGTAAACAAAAGGAGATGTTGACGCGTTTGGTGTCTCGTCGTCTTCTTCCTGTCCAACAACCATCCTTCAGTACTCTAACCGTTGGTGAAATCTTTAACACTCATCTCGTATGTTCACACACATGCGTCCTGCAAAAGTTAAACAGGGGGACATTCATAAAAACATTTTCCCATTGGGGCCCCCCCAGGGTCCTGGGGGGGGGGGGGCAAATTAAACCAAACCTGTTATGAAGCCAATGCATAGTGGACAAAAACTGTAATTGTAACATCGTCACTGTAGATGAGCTAATATGCTAAATGTAGCATGCTAATGTTGTCATTGAGGATGAACCATGGATTCATCGATTATAAGAAGTGAACGTGGGTCGTCGGTGTGGTTCCAGCTCATCCTCAGCTTTTCCTCTGGTGACACACAAAAGGCTTAAACTGGAAATGACCTAAACGTGGTTGACGTTCATGGAGCTCAAGCTCTCAGAGCAAATGACAGAGGTGCCCCTGTTTCACTTTGAGCCCCGGTCTCGTTCAGAGTGTGAGCACAGCCCTGCTCGGCTGAACAAATATTTGAGCAGCAGATGTTAGAGTTTGTTCAGAACTGAACACGGACCAGTTTTAATTAAAGATTCTTAGCAGACCAACAAAACTCTTCAAGTAGTTGTTGAGAAACATGAGTTCCCATAATGCATCATTTAGTTTGAAGGTTTTCCTCCACAGTGTCACAAGAGTAGAAACTAATGAGAAATAAATGTTACTCACGATCTGGGCTGAGCCTCTGTCCTCCAGCAGAGACAACACACACACAACAGGAGGACACACACCTTCATCCTGCAGCTAAAGAAACACTGAAGAAGACACAACAGACTGAGACGACTGACCGACCGTCAGCAGACGCTCAGATTTGATTGGTTATTGATCAACTCAACTATTCGCAAACTTCTGTGTGTTTGTGTCCCAAAGGTGAATTTACTCAGCCTGTGTTTTCTGATCTTACACAACGTGTTGACTCTGAGGTTTCACTTATCAGCTCATCGTCGTCACATCAGAACAACACAGCTCACTTTTTATATGTGTCAGTACTGGGACTATATAAAGACACTGACTGTATATAAAGATGATCACTGACTGTATATAAAGACACTGACTGTATATAAAGACACTGACTGTATATAAAGATGATCACTGACTGTATATAAAGACACTGACTGTATATAAAGACCATCACTGACTGTATATAAAGACCATCACTGACTGTATATAAAGACACTGACTGTATATAAAGACACTGACTGTATATAAAGACCATCACTGACTGTATATAAAGACACTGACTGTATATAAAGACACTGACTGTATATAAAGACACTGACTGTATATGAAGACCATCACTGACTGTATATAAAGACCATCACTGACAGTATATAAAGACACTGACTGTATATAAAGACCATCACTGACTG